TACTACTACTACTACTACTACTACTACTACTACTACCATCGCCTGCTACTATTACTACTACTACTACTACTACTACTACTACTACTACTACTACTACTACTTCTACGAGGGTCAAACCTCACCTTCGTGTCTACTGGGAATGAATGGGTAAGGGTAAGGGTAAGGGTTCGGGTTCGGGTTTGGGTTCGGGTTCGGGTTCGTTTCCACACAATCAGTTAAAATCAAATATAATAACATAGAATAGTCAAAGTTTATTCGTACACGAAGCAGGAGTTCGGAAACCCACAATTTCGCCATTCGCTGATAGGAAAACAATACAATGGGCAATAGAGCTAATAGTACACGAAGATGAGGTTCGGAAGCCCACGGATTCTAATAGTACACGAAGAAGGGGTTCGGGAACCCACAATTTCGCCGTTCGCTCGTAAGAAAACAATACAAGGGCTATAGAGCCAATAGTACACGAAGGTGAGGTTCGCAAACCCATGGTGGAAAACGAGAAAACAGCGTTCCTCTTTTCCTGTTCGCTTTCCTCTTCCTCATCCTCCTCCTCCCCCTCCTCCTCCTCCCCCTCCTCTTCCTCCTCCTCCTCCTCCTCATCCTCCTCCTCCTCCTCTTGCCCGTCCCCCACCTCCTCCTCTCCCATTGCCCGTCCCCCACCTCCTCCTCCATCCTCCTCCTCCTCCTCTTCCTCCTCCTCCTCCCCCTCCTCCTCCTCCTCTCCTATTCCTCCTCCTCTCCTCCTCCTCCTCCTTCCCCCTCCTCCTCCCATCCTCCCCCTCCTCCTCCTCCTCCTCCTCCTCCCTTCTCCTTCTCCGCCTCCTCCTCCTCCTCCTCCTCCTACCTCCTCCTCCTCCTCCTCCCCTCCTCCTCCTCCTCCTCCTCCTCCTCCTCCTCCTCCTCCTCCTCCCCCCTCCTCCCCTCCTCCTCCTCCTCCCTGCCTCCTCCTCCTCCTCTCCTCCTCCTCCTCCTCCTCCTCCTCCCTCCTCCTCCTCCTCCTCCCTCTCCCCATCCTCCCCCTCCTCCTCCTCCTCCTCCTCCTCCTCCTCCTTCTCCTCCTCCTCCTCCTACCATCACGAACCAGAAACGAATAAAACCAAAATGCCTTCCCGAATAAAACCAGAACGACGTCCTTATGAAAACCCACTCTCAAGTGGACCAGAGGGCCACGATCCTCGTGAGGGGTGTTCCGGCATTGGGCGTCGGTGGGCCGTCGGCAGCGCTCCACATTGGGCCAGGGCCACGATCCATGTGAGAGGTGTGCCGAACTTCAGCGTCGGGCGGCGATCCAAATGTGGCGAGGTCTACGATCCGTGTGAGGGGTGCGCCGATGTTGCTCATCGGTGGGCCGTCGGCAGCGCTCCCAGGTGGGCCAGGACACGATCCTCGTGAGCGGCGTGCCGGAATTGGACGTCGGTGGGCCTTCGGCAGCGCTCCCACTTGGACCAGGGCCACGATCCTAGTGAAGTGCGCGCCGGAATCGCGCGTCGGAGGGCCAGGCCCACGATCCTCGAGAGGGTTGTGCCGAAATGAAGCGGCTGGCAGTGGCGGCTGCTCCAAATCCGACGTCGACACGAAGGACATGTGTAAACTGCCGTTTTTGTTCACTTTCTAATGCGAATCCAATCTACAGCCTCTACAGCGAATAGTGCACGAAGGTAGGCATTGGCGCGAAAGACACGAAAGCCAGGTTTGAAACTACGGTTTTCGTAATTCCCATTTGTAGGAGTTCTATTAGGCCTGATACAAAAGAAGAGTACACGAAGGTGAGGTTTGTAGCGACACGAAGACCAGGTGCACCCCTACTACTACTACTACTACTACTACTACTACTACTACTACTACTACTACTACTACTACTTTTACTACTACTACTACTACTACTACTACCACCTACCTACTACCTGCTACTACTACTTACTACCTGCTACTACTACTACCTACTACTACCACTACTACTACTACCTGCTACCTACTACTACTACCTACTACCTACTACCTACTACTACTACTACTGCTACTGCTACTACTATTACTACTACTACTACTACCACTACTACTACCACTACTACTACTACTACTACTACTACTACTACTACTACTACTACTACTACTACGGGTACTACTACGACTACTACTACGACTACTACTACTACTACTACTACTACTACTACTATTACTACTACTACTACGGGTACTACTACTACTACTACTACTACTACTACTACTACTACCACTACTACTACTACTACTACTACTATTACTACTACTACTACTACTACTACTACTATTTTTTAGTATTACTACTATTACTACTACTAGGACTATTGCTACTACTACTACGGTTACTCCTACTACTACTCTTCCTACTACTTCTACTACTACCACCTACTACGATTATTATTATTGTTATTATTATTATTGTTATTAATTATTATTATTATTACTACTACTGCTGCTGCTGCTACTACGAGCCTACCACTTGAAAGGTCTCGTGCCCCTCCCTAGCCTACCGCTTCAACTACCACTACCCTTATCGTTTCCCTACCTCCTCCTTCTCTCTTCACGACCACTACCACTGCTACTAGCCTACCATCTGCATATTGTCGTGCACCTCCCTTCCCTCCAGGGAGGCTCCACCAGAGAGGGGAGTGTATCGAAGCACCATACTTTTTACAAGGTTTAGTGCCCCGCCCACGTCTCCAAGGAGGCCCCGCCAGAGCGGACAGGGCATCGGAGGCCCCGCCAGAGCGGGCAGGGTACCACTATTTGCAAGGTTTCGTGCCCCTCCCACCCCTCCAGGGGGGCGCCGCCAGAGCGAGCAGGGTATTCGAGCACCATGCGATTTACACAAGGTTTCCTGCACTTCAGGCCCCTCCATGGAGGCCCCGCCAGGGCGAGTAGGGTATTCGAGGACCATATTCTTTGCAAGGTTTCTTGCCCCTCCCGCCCCTCCAGGGAGGCCCCTTCAAGGAGGCCCAGCCAGCCCCAGAGAGCTTGTTTGAAACCTCTCAGGGGCCTCGTGGGAGTCTCCCAGGGCTTCGTGGGGAACCTCGGGGCCGCATTCGAGCACCATACTACTTGTAAGGCTTTGTACCCCTCCCGTTACTCCAGGGAGGCTCCGCCAGAGCGCGCAGGGTATTCGAGTGCCATATCATCCACGAGACGACGGTAACGCCCAAACCTTTGAAACACCCGAGCCAAATCCATTCATGTTGTTTGTCGGGGCCCTCTGAGGGTCATCTTGGAGCTCTCCGGGTCGGCTTGGGCGCTTCTGGGACCGTGCGTGGGACCGTTTGGAAGTCATGTTTTGCCATCTTGACGCGCTCTTGGCCTGAAGCCGTGGGGCCTGCCACCTACTTGGCGCCTCCTGGAGGCGCTCCTGCGCCGCTCTGAGAGCACAGGGGGCCGCGCCCAGGAGTTTTGGCACTCCTGGCCCCGACCCAGCTGGGATTATTTCTCGTCTGGAGACCCCCAGGGGCTGCCCCGCGCGCGCGCGAATTAGAACTATCCTGAACTTCTTACCTGGACATTTTAACACGCGTTTGGCCTTGTGGCCTTGTGTGGCCTTGTGGGCCATATCAGATGGTTACGATGTCGACGATCCTGCTGGTATTGATACTGCTGCTGATATGATGGGCTGGTTCACATATGATTACGATGTCGATGTTGGCGATGATGATGACGATGAGAATGAGGATGACGACTATGACGACTATTGACTAAGGTGATTATGCTGATGCTGAGGCTGATGATGATGCTGCTGATGGGTGACCGACGGCGATGATGCTGATGATGACGCTGATGATGATGATGCTGATGCTGATGCTGATGCTGATACTGCTGATGGTGGTGGTGATGATGATGATGATGTTTATGGTAATGCTGCTGACGATGCACAATGGCGATGGCAGTAATGATCATCATGGCAACGACGATGATGATAATGCTGCTGATGCTGACGATGACGATGGCGATGACGATGACGATGACGATTATGGTGATGATGCTGCTGATGATCATGATGATGATGATGAGGAGGATGAGGATGAGGATGAGGATGAGGATGAGGATGATTCTGATGTTGATGATGCTGATGCCGATGCTGATGAGAGTGATGCTGATGCTGGTGCTGATGATGATGACGAGGATGAGGATGAGAATGAGGATGCTGATGATGCTGATGATAATGATGCTGGTGATTGTGCTGATTCTGCTGACTATGATGCTGATGTTGATGCTGATGATGATGGTAATGATGCTGATGATGATGATGATGCTGCTGCTGATGATGATGATGATGATGATGATGTTGATGTTGATGCTGCTGATGCTGCTGCGGAGATGATGATGATGCTGATGATGTTGATGCTGCTGACGAGGAGGAGGAGGAGGAGGAGGAGGAGGAGGAGGAGGAGGAGGAAGGTGATGATGGATAGTGGCGGTGTTGATGACTGTATCCGATGATGGGTGAGGGTCAGAGCCGGGCCCTGGAGGCCTCCCCGCCGCACCCTCCGCGCGCGTCTCGCCAGGTCATGGTGCTGTCGGCGGCGGCGTTCTTCGGGGGCCTCACCATGGAGCGAGCCAACGGGCTGGCCCCGCACGACCTCCAGGGGTGGAGATCTGGGGCCGCCACGAGGGTTCGACGTTAGTCGCGCTTCGCGCTCTGCGGCCTGGGCGATCTCAGCGCGTGGGGCGAGTGCCTCATCCTGCTCGGGGGGGCGGGGGGGCGGCGCGAGAGCGCGAAGATGATTGTGATTCGCGCTTCGCGCAGGGCGGAGCGCGAAGATAGTTGCCCAAGGCCTCCCCGACCGGGCCAGAACGAGTCGTTGCCCCCAGGTCGCGCCGCATCGCCGATGCATCGCGGTGAGCCTTCCTTTCTCGTTTCCCTACGTCGCCGACGCGTCGACGAGGGCATCTGCGACGCGGCGCGAACTTGGGGCCCTCTCCTTGCCGGCCCCCGCCCCACGGTTCCACCCGTCCCTGCCAGCTTCCATGGTCGCCGTTGTCCATGTCGTGGTTGGCCTCTCCTGTCCCGCCCCTCTTGGCCCGTGTTGAGGTTCCGCGCGGCAAATGGCCCAGCAAGAAATTCACAGGGGCCGCCTCTTGGCTTGCTCAACGATGTCGGCAGGCGTCTCCATGCAGGCGTTGTTCCTGATGAAGACTTACGACTTGGACGTGCTCCATGTCACTTGGGTGAGCGTCGGATCCGCGGTTACCCTGGTCCTCACGGGCATGTTCATCAGCACTCGTGTCAAGAACTGTTTTGGGCTCACGTGGACTGTTGTGGTGATGAACACGTTCGGCGGATGCCTCTACATATTCATGGCCCAGTGCGGATACATGGGCCTGGACGTGTGGTTTTTTGTCGTGTGCGTCTGGCTGGGCTCGATGCAGAGCTCCGTGGCAGGTGCTAGCACAACGCCGCTGCTAAACGAGTACTGCAGCACCTCGAATCGAGGCAGGATCATCAGCACCTCACAGATGTGCATGAACCTGGGCAGAATGCTGGGACCTTTATCATACGGTCATCTCGCTAAGTATGACATCAACGCGGTGTGGCTCGTTGCTGGGGCTGCGCTGTTCATTAAGGCTTTCTTAACACTGTTTGTCCGGCCCAGGAAGGAGGAAGCGCCAGGGACGGAGCCTTCCATTGTCAGAAGGCATACGATGTACGGTGAAGACTGGCAGGACGAAGTTGGAAGCGCAGAAGACATAAACAGTTTGGGCAAGTATGTTGCTGATCTTTTGACAAAGGGCCACTACAAGTGGGTAACCCGGCGATCGGATATCGAAGGCCTGCTGGCGAAGCTCCTTCCGGAGCTCGACATCGCAAACCAAGAGCTCTATGACAAGCACGTCTGTGAGATAGAGGCAGGAACGGAGCTGGCACGAGCCAGATGTGGAGACAGATGCTGAGTTTGGTGGGATGCCAGCGGGCTGCCGAGCCTGTCCTCGGTGAATATTTGGCCTCACTGGCGGCCCTGACTCCTTGGCTCTGGCGGTCGCAACCATGGATCAACGGCTCCCGCTTTCATGGGAAATCGCGAATGTCCGCGGCCGAGCGAGGTGGCACTGGCCGCATTTTGGGGAGGGCACCTCCCCCGACCCATGGATTTGGCAACCGCGCGCCAAATCCATGGATCGCCAATGCAGGTTTGCGCGTCCCCGATTGGTGGCCTTCTTGGGCCATCTCGGGAGCCATTTTGAGTGCCTTTCAGGACTTGGAGACCGCCCAGGTGAGGTATGTGCGCCAATGGAGCCCCCGGAGGGTGCCAGTGACTCGATGCGAAGAGGAGGGGTGACTTAGACAAGTACGGAAGCTCAGCCAGACGTTTAGCGTGCTACTACTTCAGTACGTGCCAGGGGGCACTGTGTTGGATTTCCCGCCGATATTACTATGAAGCACCTTCGCGCAGACTTGCGTATATCAACGCTTGAGCGAGAGTGCGGAGTGGGTTTGAGGAGGAGTTCAGAGGAGTATGGACGGGCAGGATGATACATATCGGCATGGCAAGTATCGGTAATTCGGCATTGGGGGAAGTAGAAGGCGGAGGGAGGCATGTCTGGTTTGGTGGTGTGCCTCAGGTTCGCCATGGTCTTGTTTGGGTGGCATGCCTGCACCGTTTTTGACGCTTCGCGTATCCCAACCGGCCCCATCCAGAAAGTATCTTTAGGCAAGTTGTCGCGAGACGGCATGTGGAGGAAGAGTCGTGAAACAATGAAGTAGACACCAGCCAAACCGAAGCTGGGAGCAGTAATCCTGAGTCTTTTTTGGGGGTCCTTTGGCAGCCTTGGAGGCCCCCTTGGGGCTCTCTCTTGGGGTCATCTTGGGGACCTTTCGGGCCCTCCTGGTGCCATCTAGAAGGCAGCGCCGAAAAAGGAAGAGGGGTCCTCAACTGCCCATCTGGAGCCCGACAATCGCCTCCCGATGGCCTCTCGGGGTGCTCTCGGGGGCCTCTTGGGTCACACTTGCGGCCCCCCTCTTGGAGCTGTGTGGGGCAATCTCGGGGCCATCTTGATGCTGCTAGAGTTAAGTCGGGTCTGTCCCTCTACAGGAGGAATATTCAAAAGTAGTCCGAAAATAGCCAGTGGACGATTGTTTGACTATTGTTTGCTTATTTTGGGGTATTTTCGGGTATTTTTTTTTTGTCCGAAACCCACTGGAGGGGACATGCCCGACCTCATGCTAAAGCAAACATCAGCGAAGAGGGAAGAAGTCGAAAGTCAACTCCTGTCGTTTGGAGGACTTGGAGCTCTCGCAGGTTCCCACTGGAGGCCGAAGAAGGAAGGCATATTTGATGACCTACGTCCGGAGGGCCGGTGAGACTTGCATCACGATCACCGTTGTGTCCCCCAGACGCGTTTGGTTTGCATCATCGCGTTATCGCGCTCTCCCTGTCGTTATGTTTGGCATGCTGCTCCCATTGATTTCGCACGGCCCGTCCCCTCCCCCTGGTCTACCACGGCTGTGCCCCATCGTAAACGGTTCCCCTGGGAGCAACACCGCCTCACTGGATCCGCGAATTCGATTCCACGGAACCGCGAAATATAGAATTCGCAAGAACAGTGCAGGTTGTTACGAAGACAACCAGTTTTGTGCTTTGCGTGATGTAATGTGCCAAGTGGAGACGCAGCTGTGCATACATACATGTATCCGTACTCCAGATTTCGTAATAAAAGGGAGGGGGTCTGGACCCTCCAAGACAAGCCATTTCAGACCTCCCCCGTGGGAGAACCCTCCAACACATCGTCCCCAGACCCCCCAGGCCCTCCAAGATAGCCTGGAAGAGACCCCCCCCCGAAATGAGACCCCCCTCCCTTTCTTACGAAATCTGGAGTACATACATGTACCAGTAAGGGCCTTGAGTCGCGTCAGTGCGCCTCGGCGCTGCCTTGGCGCACCTGGGAGCCTCACGCGGGGGCGGAGGGGAATCCTCCGCGCGTCCTGGGACGCTGGCGACTCCCAGGGCCCTCTGGACACCCCGGAGCCGAGGAGGAGGAGGAGGAGGAGGAGGAGGAGGAGGAGGAGGAGGAGGAGGAGGAGCCCCAGGGACCACCTGGACGCCCCGGCAGGAGGACGCCCCCGGCGTTCCAGAGAGCTCCTGGGAGCCCCTGGCCGGGCCCAGGCGCTGGGCGACAAGTCGTTCGGGATAGGGCGGCCGAGCGCCCGCCCCCCGAGGGCCCCGACGGCCCAGAGAACACCCCCCCAGAGGCCTCCAAAACCTCGGAGCGTGAATTACCTCCCCCGCTTTCGCTTCCAGGCAGAACCAAGCCACACCACGCGCCTCCTCGTCAAGCGGCCCGACCAGTGCAGGCCGCAGTTTGGCATCGCTTGGCATCTCTTGGAAGCGAGGGTGGGCAAAAGCGAGGTAGGTCTGTTTTCCCCTAAGAAACGCAGATCTGTTTTTGTTCCGTTGGTTTTTCATGATTCTGGGAATGCCCTTCTCTTCGGTCCTCTGGGCGTCCGAGACCGCCTGGGAGGCTTGAGCATCGCCCCACAACCATCCGAAAGGGCTTCCAGGCAGTCCAAGAGAGCCCCAGGACGGCACAACGGGGTTCCAGGATGGCCTTCGAGAGCCCCTTGACGGCGCAAGATGGCCCCAAGACACCCTCCGAAGCATTCCAGATCGTGACCTGGTCGTTCAGGGAGACCGTCGTTGAAGGCAGGGTGGCCCGAGGAAGTCCCCATAGGCCCCCAGAAGACGCGCAGGAGACCTCCATATAAGGCTTTCTAATAGAGCCTGACACATTTCCGTGAGGCCCCCACAGGCTCTCCAAGGAGGAGCCTCCGCAAAAAGAGCTGAGGAGGATGGGGAAGAATTCGCAGGTGAGCGAGAATGAGGGAACACAAGCATGGAGGAAGGATAGCGATTAGCATCATTATAGCGGCGATGCCGGAAAAGGCAATCAGGAGTTTTCGTTAAAATGTTTGTTTGACTTTCCTGCCATTCTGCCTGCATACCACACTTCATTGACCAAGGTGTATGGCGCGAAGCGCCAATGCCGTCTTGTGAATATATGCATATATATATAGATACACAGAGACGAACTTATCGAGACGGAGTGGGAAGCAGGGAATAGGGCAGAGACATGGAACCAGATGTGTACTACGCGTATATACACAAACATAGAGACATAACGAGAAGGGCAGATGCATTCAGACGGATCCGGATATAGTCAGGGAAACATGCGGACGGAGGTGAAGACGAAGGCCAAGACGAGCCCGAAAGCAAAACAACGGCGCACATATTTACGCAGACCAAGAGTTTTTCATCTTGAGCCCACGATGGCGACGACGGACCGACCGACGACGACCGACCGACCGACCGACGACAATTGACCGACCGACCGACCGACCAGCCGCCAGCCGACCGATTGACGACGACGACGATCGACCGACCAGCCGACTGCCAGGGAACCCCGTGCCCCGTAGAATCAGCATTTTTTCCGCAGATCCACGGCTCCATAGATCCCATGTCTTGTGGGCCCACGATCTTGGTTATCATTATTTGTTTATTCCTTTTGCACACGCACGCTGAAATCCAGTGGGGTCCATGGCTTCTCCTGCAAGAGTAACATGTTTCGGCCTATGGATGAAGAGTAGCAGGCATGGAGATAATTGCAGAGACCCTGGGTTACGCGTGGTGGAGCGAAGATAACCGCGCTGCGCGCATCGTGGTCTGGGCTGTGCTGTCCTTCTCAATGGGAGTGGTGGCTGGGCGCGAAGGTAGCTCCAGCTGCTTTCCGCGAGCTCTAGATCTCTAGAACCCAAGACCGTGTTTTTGTTGAAGGTGTGGGGCCTGATGCGTTTTATGTCCCCCCATGACGCTGCCCCCCAGATTATTCCACGCTGGTCGCCGCGTTACCCCGGCGGGCATGTTGTGCAGCTTGCGCGCTGTGGAAGCGTTCGCAGCCATACTGGTGTGCTCACAGGCATGCTGTTGCACTCGCGTTCGCAGGCTTCTGGTGCTCGCACGGGGGATGTGGTGTTAAGTCGGGCATGTCCCGCTACAGGAGGAATCTTCAGAAATAGTTTGAATTATCCTAGCGATGGACCCAACCATATGCAGTTACGAGTACTGCAAAAGCAGGTTGAGCGAATGAGAGGGAACTCCCTAAGGGGCCACGAAACGTGTGAGAGGTGTGCCGAAATGGGTGCGGTGCCGCAGCCACTGGGGCCCTCGGTGGAGCTCCCTATGGGGCCACGAAACGTGTGAGGGGTGTCCCGAAATGGGCGCGGTGCCGCCATGCGAACGCAGCCACTGGAGCCCTCGGTGGAGCTCCCTATGGGGCCACGAAACGTGTGAGGGGTGTGCCGAAATGGGCGCGGTGCCGCCATGCGAACGCAGCCATTGGAGCCCTCGGTGGAGCTCCCTATGAGGCCATGAAACGTGTGAGGGGTGTCCCGAAATGGGTGCGGTGCCGCAATGCGAACGCAACCACTGGGGCCTTCGGTGGAGCTCCCTATGGGGCCACGAACCGGGTGAGGGGTGTACCGAAATGGGCGCGGTGCCGCCATGCGAACGCAGCCATTGGAGCCTTCGGTGGGGCTCCATATGGGGCCACGAAACGTGTGAGTGGTGTGCCGAAATGGGTGCGGTGCCGCCATGCGAACGCAGCCACGGGGGCCCTCGGTGGAGCTCCCTCAGGAGACACGAAACGTGTGAGGGGTGTGCCGAAATGGGTGCGGTGCCGCCATGCGAACGCAGCCACTGGGGCCCTCAGTGGAGCTCCCTATGGGGCCACGAAACGTGTGAGGGATGTGCCGAAATGGGCGCGCTGCCGCCATGCGAACGCAGCCACTGGAGCCCTCGGTGGAGCTCCCTATGGGGCCACGAAGCGTGTGAGGGGTGTGCCGAAATGGGTGCTGTGCCGCCATGCGAACGCAGCCACTGGGGCCCTCGGTGGAGCTCCCTATGGGGCCACGAAACGTGTGCGGGGTGTGCCGAAATGGGTGCGGTGCCGCCATGCGAACGCAGCCACTGGGGCCCTCGGTGGAGCTCTCTATGGGGCCACGAAGCGTGTGAGGGGTGTGCCGAAATGGGCGCGGTGCCGCCATGCGAACGCAGCCACTGGAGCCCTCGGTGGAGCTCCTTATGGGGCCACGAAGCGTGTGCGGGGTGTGCCGAAATGGGTGCGGTGCCGCCATGCGAACGCAGCCATTGGGGCCCTCGGTGGAGCTCCATATGGGGCCACGAAACGTGTGAGGGGTGTGCCGAAGTGGGTGCGGTGCCGCCATGCGAACGGCACAGTGCCGCCATGCGAACCCAGCAACTGGAGCCTTCGGTGGAACTCCCTATGGGGCCACGAAACGTGTGAGGGGTGTGCCGAAATGGGTGCGGTGCCGCCATGCGAACGCAACCACTGGGGCCCTCGGTGGAGCTCCCTATGGGGCCACGAAGCGTGTGAGGGGTGTGCCGAAATGGGCGCG